TCAATATATTAACCATAGCAATACTAATTTGTGATCATAATCAGAAAAAAAGATAAATTGTGAGTAGAATAAAAAAATAATTTTTAGTCCGAAACAAATGAATAAAAGTGAATAATTTGAGCGTAATGGGAGTGTATGACGTCACCACAAGCAGTATAACTGTCCATAAGTGTGAGATGTCATTTAGGACGGAGTTGCTGAAATTTATTATCGCTGTCCAATCACAAGAAAACATAGTCAGTCACTAAAAGCGCTGACCATTGATGACCCACTTGATTTTGCTTCGTTCGGCAGGCAAACAAGATGTGTTCTTTTCTCGACTTACTTGACTTCAGTGTGATGCAGCAGGACAGGAAAACGTCCGTCTGGAAAGGTGAAACTTTATCATTTTGTAATGATAAAACTAATAAAAGATAACTGCATTCTTCATCTGTTATTTCCACACACCGGGCAGGTATTTAGTCGTTCGCATGTGCAGACAGCAGCATTTTGTAAGTCAGGCAATCTTTACTGTAGTCCTAGTGCTGCCTCGTAACCACACCCTCTCTCTCTCTTGATGTTCTTTCGTGCTTTGTCACCAGTCACTCGCCTTTGCTTCCCCCCATGTGAGAGAATCCAAGACAGTCTTGGATTCTGGACTCCGCGCCGTGGATTCCGGATTCCAGGAACTGGATTCCAGTCCTTGTCCGTGGAATTTGGAATCCGAATTGCAGTCGTAAGTACTGTCAAACACTGTTAATACGGATACTGAAGGGACCACAGAAATTGTCCGTATTGACGGGGTGCCCGTATTAAGCGGGTCATGTTTTTAAAGTAAAAAAAACAAAATACCAAAGAATAGAACAAAATACCAAAGAAATAAAAGAGGACATTGGCATCGTCAAATTAAACTTCTGTGACCTTCTCAAAGCCGTCATTACGCGCCTAAAGTCCACGGAAACACTTAAAAATCGCTCACGTATGGTATTACTTAATCAAAACCCTTCTGTGTATAACTCGTTTGATGCCAAATATTGACGTCTACAAATCATCCTATCCCGTGTATGGTAGCGCTGGAAACATCGATGTGCTGTCAACTGAAGGATTTTTTACCTTCAAAAAGGAAAGGTCTATTAGAGCACAGTTGATAATGAGGTGTTCGCATTAGCGAGGTTGGCTTTCTATGAGAATTCGTTGATTGGGCAAGAATCAAGTGTCCGTTGTCCGCATTGACGGGTGTCCGTATTAAGCGGGTTGAATTTAGAGAACATGTAAGAGCTTTCTTTCCCGAGGGATAAAGCCAACTGTCCGTAATAACGAGGTGTCCGTATTAAGCGGGTGTCCCTAAAGCGGGGTTCGATTACAGTAATAGTGGGATTCCTGATTCCTTGAGCTGTATTCCGGATTCCAAAGCCCAGGATTCCGGATTCCACGAGCAAAAGTTTCCCGGATTCCAGATTCCACAAGCAAAAGTTTCCCGGATTCCGGGTTCTACAAGTAAAATTTTCCCAGACTCCGGATTTCACAAGCAAAAGTTTCCCGGATTGCGGATTCAACGAGCAAACGTTTCCCGGATTTTGGATTCTACAAGCAAAAGACTGCCGGATGTCGGATTCTACAAGCAAAAGATTCCCGGATTTCGGATTCTACAAGCAAAAGATTCCTGGACTTCGGATTCTACAAGCAAAAGTTTCCCGGATTTCGGAATCCGGATTCCCTTCCATGGGGCGATTGGGAGGAGACAGGTCCTAGAGAGAATCTGTCAAGATAATCGGATATTGGTTAGGCATTTATGGAACCTTAAAACACTCAGGCGGATAAGAAGACATACGACTTATTTCAAAATGGTGGAAATATTCATGTCAAACATTCATGTTAAAGATTCATGTTACGTAGTCCACTTTGCCGCGACTGCATCTTAGGAAATCAATAGAACTTTTACCTTGAAAGGAGGCATTGAGGGCCAAGTATTATGAAGACAAAAGAATAACTGAATTTGTCTCCATTTTAGAATAAGATGCATTGAAGTCGTATAATCAGTAACTTCCTAGGGAAAACATGATGAAATGTTATCTCCAGCTAACATGTTATTTAAACTGCCTTAGGTCTCTTTGCCTTGATGCTTATCTACAAAGAAAGAAATGTGGATTTTGGATACTTGGCAGAAAGAATGTCACAGTATTTTTCTTCCGTAGCAAGGTAGGAACGAATGTGAAAATTAATGTGAAAAAGACTTAGAGATAATCGCCGAGCTCAAAAATTGGTCGTGGTGTTTATTATTTCAAGATTGAGAGGCTACAGAGTATCTGACTTGCCTTGCCATACTCTTGGAATAACGCATCATAACTTCGGAAATTGCATGCAATAAATCTCTTGCAAATAGTACATTAGTTGAGGCCCCTCCTCGAAAAAGATCCCCTGTTGTTCAATTCTCGTAAGCGCACCCTAAATCCTCGCATTTTGGGTGATCGCTTACGGGAGGTTCGATTGTACAAGATTTGTGTTGTGCAAAAAGTCAGATTAGCTTCTGACCACTTGGCAACACATAGTGTTACAAGCAGAAAACCACGGTCTCAAAATAATAACAACAGGCACCTTATATGCTATCCAAGTTGTAGCAGACAGTAAAACGTGGAATATTAGGCTGACTTAGACAACGTGATGATAGTGGAGACAGCGCGCAAATTAACCAATGGCAGAGCGTCAAATTGAGCACCAAAAGTCGTGTCAGTCATTTCCGCAAGCTTTCGTTTCGCGTTTTTAATTGAAGGTGGGTATTATTTGCTAATTGTGTCTATTGCTTAGCTAACACGTACGAGACTGAACGGTAATGCGTTAGAGTTGCGCATGCGTCTCAGGTTTGGCCGTCATAAGCTTACGGTCATTCACTCTTAAGGTGGCCCGATACAGTTTTTCAAGGCCAATACCTCCCAAGTTTGAGCATAAACTACGTCACCATAAACAAAGTTTTGAAAAAATTGCCACCGCAGTAGTATTAGATAAAGATGAAAATATGTTATGATCAGGGTTGCAATGACATCGGAGTTGTCATAGCAACGAAATGACGCTATTACACATTTTACTTACAGAAGTATTTCTCGGCACTGGGAACTGTTCTTCCAAAATCATTTACGGGAGCTTTTTCCTCCAGTAGCCGCCTCGATGTTCGTGAAGTTTAAGCGAAATTTGTAAGAGCGTTATCGAGATATTTTGGGATAATGATTTTGTGGTTAGAAATACGGTAAAAAATGGATAATCTTGATGTTCGGCTGTTATCTGTAGAAAATGAAGCGCTTTTGACATGCAATTTCACCTCATAGTAGTTTCAATCTTTTTAAAAACGTGTGTGAAAGACCGTGGAGATAGCTCCAGCCGATTGCTAGAAAGAAGGATTTGATTAGTATGTATCGAGGCGCTTTTGTTAGCGGTTTTTGAACATTTTGGCCTACTTTAACAAATTAGCGAATAATTTTTAAACCGCTCGATAGATTTTTAAAAAAATTTAAGATTCTTGAGATTAACCTTCCTTTTATATGACCTTTTAGTTTCAAGTTATTGATATACATGCTAATAAAACCCTTCTTTCTAGCAATCGGCTGGAGCTATCTCCATGATCTTTCACACACGTTTTTAAAAAGATTGAAACTACTATGAGGTGAAATTGCATGTAAAAAGCGCTTCATTTTCTACAGATAACGGCCAAACAACAAAATTGTTCATTTTTTACTGTGTTTCTAACCACAAAAACTTCATCCCAAAATATCTCGATAACGCTCTTACAGATTTCGCTTAAACTTCATAAACATCGAGGCCGCTATTGGAGAAAAAAGCTCCCGTGAACGATTTTGGAAGAACAGTTCCCAGTGCCGAGATATACTGCTGCAAGTAAAATAGTTAATAGCTTCATTTCGTTGCTATGACAACTCCGATGCCGTTGTAACCGTGAACGTAACAAATGTTCATCTTTATCTAATACAACTGTGGTGGCAATTTTTCCAAAACTTTGTTTATGGCGACGTAGTTTATGCTCAAACTTGGGAGGTATTGGCCCTGAAAAACTGTATCGAGCCACCTTAACTGTCTTTTATTTTCCTCTTCTGAATATTATTAAATACGAAAATATTTTTAAACTAAAACTTTAAGAATACAGTCACATCTTCTTCTTGCATAGAATTGACCATTCCAGAAAGAACCAATTCAAAACTTGAGTATTTCTTGTAGTTCTTAGCCTGTTCCAGGCGTTGAAATCGATAATGGCCTTTCATTGCAGAAAAACTCTCAACACTAGTCGGACAATATGTCCGGTCAATTCTTTTATTTATTTACCTTTTTTGCCATTTGAGGGCGAATTTAGCCTAACTCGACGAAGTTAAAAGGCTCTTTAACATCTTTACTCATTTCGTTTCGAAATTAAACAGCTCTTTAACATCTTCACTCATTTCGTATCTGTAAATGCGCCTGTTTTGGATCGTGTCAGTTGTTAATCACATGTTGTGTTTCTTTAATTTTCGGTTAACAAATATGTCATGAAGACGAAGTTGTAAAATGCCTCGGGTTAATTTCTTTAGCAAATCTTGATGATGTTAGAAACGTCAGGATTATAATAGCTTTCCACGTCTGTTCGGTATTTTAGTGCTTGCTTATGTTAATTTGAAATCTAATAAGGAAGTTGGAGGCTCTAAGTAAATAGCACTTAGTCACACGATATTTCCTGCTAGAAAGAACATAGTGCTGTAGCGTTGTAAGAATTGTTATTGAAGTAGCTAGAATTGAGGTAGCTACAGAGTTAGATATAGAGTCAAAGCTGTCGATCTTCAAAACCAAGCTTCTTGACTGACGGAACGTTTTTTTTTGTACAAATGTACTGAATTCTATATTCAGTTTGATTGATATTTAGTTATTGACATTTTTGTGATGCATTGCCTTTGCCTGTCATATTTTGAGCACAAATTTATTACAAGATCGAGACCATAAGGACTTTTATCCAATATAACTGAGTTAAAGACCTTTTTAATCGCAAAATGGAGTCATGGTTTTGGATCCTTGGCTGGTTTCTTTCAATTCTGACGATAACTGGAAATGGATTCATTATCTTCCTTGTGTGCAAAAAACGACAACTCCGCACCAAAACCAACGCTTTTGTCGTGTCACTTGCAGTGGCAGACTTCTGTGTTGGGATAAGTGCGTTTCCTTTGCTGTTTTTGTACGAGATGACAAGAGGTCGCAACTTTTCGCCAGCATTATATAAAGGAGTTTTAATCTCACGCTGGTTTTTTCAAGATGCCTCTGTAGTGTGCCTGTGCAGTTAAGTACTGGAGCGCTATATTGCCATCGTGAAGCCTTTTAAATACGTGACCTCAATGCATGGTCATCGCGTTGTCCAAATGATATTTTTTCCTTGGGCTGTAACTGTTATTTTTATTTTACTTGAGTCTTTACTCTGGATTGGTTTAAAGTCATCCTTTATATTGAAAATTTTTATTTGGCTTGTTATTACTTTCTTCGAGTTTCTACCATGCTGTTTGGTCATTTTCTGCTTATTTTGTATGTTACGCGTTGTGTATAAACATAAACGTGCAGTCAGTATTTTGACTCGACAGTTACGTTTGAACCATTGTGTTTCATATAGACCTTACGAGAACTCTGCTGTTGTAATGGTGACAGTTGTATCAGGGATCTTTCTCGTTTGCTATGGTCTTTACTTGCGCTGTGGTTTTATGATTGTTTTTAACATAGTTCCAAACTGTTCTCATTTCAAATCCTATCAAATGCCTATGTTGGTTTTTAACTCCGCTTTCAACCCTTTGGCTTATGCTTTTTTTAAACGGGACATAAAGAAGGAGATTAAAAGGTTGTTGTACGCATGGACTTTGAAAAAACAGCGTTCAAAAAATATTCGTCATTGTTATGGTTACGACGTGAAACGCATCCCTGTAACGCGCAGTGCTTTGGGAGAAAGACGCAAAGTAATAGGTAGTGAACTTTAAAAAAGAAAACTTGAATTTAGCAAATCAGATAAGGGGAAATCCAAGAGATATTAATAAAAGATAAACGTTTGCCTTGCATGATAACTGACGGACAAATTCTAGTGAATAAAAATTTTCAGTGCGAGAAGCTTTATTTACGATGCACACAGAGTAATTGATATCTAAAAACCTTAATGGCTATTTATGGACTGACAGGTCATTAAATTGACGCAACGTGCTTTTAAATGTCGAATTTTATAAATGGTTTTAACTCTTGTTAAAACCTCTAAATTATTAAAAAGGCTGACATGAAAGGACATTACCAAAAGTAAATGTGAAAATGATACCTTTTAATATCGACTGCTGACTTTATTGGTCGGGGAGGGGAGCGAGGGAGAGGAAGCAGGGGGTGGTCTGAAAGTATTTAAAATTGTCCAAATTAGAAAGAAACGACAGTAATGAAACTCTTGCAATAGATCGCGCCAAATATTATAAATATGGCGCGCAATTTTATTACCCTTTAAAGAAAGAGGTATGAGGCTAGCACCTAATTTAACCTTTATGCCTCACCTAGCCTTAGGATTTCCTTAAAGCATAAAGTCGAGCGAAAGTGGATAAGATCAAAGCATTTTCCCTTAGGTGATCATTTTATTTATTGTCATAANTAGTCAGTCGCTCACTCGTAGTAGACGGACATCGGGTCGAGGCTAGTCCGAATTCTAGAGTGCGAAGATCTATCGTTTCCGAAGAAGCACTAGTCTGCTACACAGCCGTTTTTAGAGTCGTCACGCAATGCTCCTCCCCACTAACGGCTGCTGAAAACCGAACTACATTCCTTTCCATTTGCGTTTGTAGTCTAACGAACAAGCCAATCATGTGGTGATATAAGGGTGAAAATATTAATTCTAGCTCCGTTATTTTCATTCTAAGTGCTTGCTTGGAGTTGTCTCAAGTTAAGTGATTTGTCTGGAAATAATAACAAAAACTTTTAAGTATCTTGGGCATATACTGTAGTAGATGTCATATTTCGACGTTATGTCTGAGATATTTCCGAGAGTCAACACATGATGTGTTTCATATGTATTCACTTGAGGTCAGTGCACAGGCCGTAATTATGTGTGCAAAGAGATTTAAAGTTTTTCGTGTTTGTTTTGTTTTGTTTTTTTTTCTCACCCCTTTTGCATTTTCAACACTAAAAGATATAACAATAGAAATTATATTTCTCGAACTAAGAAGAGTTTTTTTTTTTTACTAGCTATAACTTGGGTGCAATAGGTATTATAAATTTAATGAAGTAGAGCCAAGGCACAAGAGTCAATCAAGCCCCTTCTGCTTTTGACAATGCTAATTTTTTGGCATCTTTTTGACCGAGTATGTGCCATAATTTACATCCTGCCCCCATGTTAATTACTCATGAGCAGATGGTTCTACATTTCTGTGCTCCTATAACTGAGACGAAGATAATTTTTACATACACTAAGACGGAAGCGTGGTTTTGGGTTCTTGGCTGGTTCCTGTCCATTCTTACGATTATTGGAAATGGACTTTATTATCTTCCTTGTGTACAACAAAACCGCACAAAAACCAACGCGTTTGTGCATGGTGTCACTTGGAGTGGCAGACCTCTGTGTTGGGATAAGTGTGTTTCCTTTGCTGTTTTTGTACGAGATAACAAGAGATCGCAGCTATTCATGAAGTTTACAGAAAGGGATGTTGATCGTACGCTGGCTTTTTCAAGACGTCTCTGTGGTGAACCTTTGTAGTTTAGTATTGGAGCGCTATATTGCCATCGTAATACCCTACAAATATGTGACTTTTATGGCCCGTCGTCGAGTTGTCCAAATGATTTTCGTCTCCTGGACAATAACTGTTATTTGTATTTTTCTTGAATCGTCAGTTTGGATCGGGATGGTTTAAATTCATCTTCTGGTTTGGAAATTTTTTTTTTGGTTTGTTGTCATTTTCTTTAAGATTATCCCATGTTGTATGGTTATTTTTTCCTTAGTTTCCACGCTCCGTATTGTACTCAAACAAAACCGAGCAGTCACTATTTTAACCCGACAGTTACGTTTCAACCACTGTGTTTCACACTAACCTAACGAGAAGTCCGCAGTTGTAATAATGCTAGTTGTTTCTGGCTTCTTTATCGTGTGCAATGTTCTTTACTTGCGTTGTGTGTTTTTGAAAATTTTTAACTTTATTCATAACTGTTTTAATTTCAGGTATAAAATACCAGTTTTAGTTCTTAACTCGGCTGTTAATCCTTTTGCTTACGCTGTTTTTGAAAGGGACTTGAAGAATGAATTTAAAAGACTGATTTGCACAGTGACTTCGACAAAACATGAACAAAGGAAGACTCATAAAAACATTCGTATCGCTGTGGCTAGGACGTCCTTATTTTAAAAAATGTAAATTTGTTGTTAGTGAAAAATAAGAAATAATTAGTGGAATGAATGAAATGCTTTCTTTATAAATCTTTATTCACACGAGCATGTTTCTTTTTTTTTCTATTTTGGTAAGTTTTCCTTCCTTGTGTTGACCGGAAAACGTAACTTGTATTTTTTCGTTGCCAAGTAGTGCTACCACGTTACATTTTTTTCGCGATACAAGGCCCACAATGCGATACAAGTTGCAGAACTTTGTGTACACACAAGACCGTGCAGCTGCGCATGCGCTTGTTCACTATCTTCATCCCACGCAAAGTGGGAGTATAAAAAACTGTAATTTCACTTACTCGTGGATATAGCACTATTTTGTTTTGTTGTAGTATCGCGATATTTTTTTCAATAATCAAAATTTTTATATGGGAAGAAAAATGGTGGCTCACCGATGCATCGTGGAATCGTTGCAGCCCTATAGAAAAAAGACGTGATGACGTCATCGGTCAAAAAAAACTAAATTTGTGAAATTATAGGTTTGGTTAGCATATCCAGAAAGAACCAGATGGAAAATGTTCACTCGGTAAAAATAAGCCAGTTTGAAACGGTGCTTATATGTCCCCACCAATTTGCACTAAAAGGATAATTTTTTTTCATCTTGTTCTTTCTGAATATACTAACCAACCCCTATAATTTCACGTTATTTGAATTTTGGTGTTATCATACCTCATTACTCTATTGTCAAGTGAAAAGTTACATGTTTTCCCATTTACTACCGGTAAGAATTTCTTGTCAAAGTAAAACTTGCTAAGAAAACCGTTGAGTGTAAATGGGGTTTATATAAATGGTGTGAATAATGGACTTACAAGCAGGTTGTTGGACGTAAGATAAAGGACTAATTCTGAAACTGGAATGAAAATTGATACTTTCTGTGGTTTGAATTAGACATATTTTAATCATAGTTCAAATAATCTACATAATGTTTCAAAATACAAGCCATCAATTCAGTAAAAGACAGACGTGAGACAATGATGCTTTTTTTTTTCTCAATTTGTATAAGGTCTATGTACCCCATAGCCTGCGAACAGCAGACGCATTTTCGATCGTCGCTTCTCTCAGAAGCGACGATCGGAAATACGTAAATACGTCTGCTGTTCGCAGGCTATGTACCCCACTAGTTATGATATTGGCTGAAGTTTGTATGTTCATATCTTCTCAGGGATCCTTTTGCACGGAACTGAAACTTGCCACTTGTTTATAATCCCCACACTCCTTAGTTTTGCGCGAGTATTCACACCAAGAAAAAGCCGTTACCAGTGAGTTTCGATGATCCTGCCACTTGGGTAGTCGGCAGTATGATTGGTTTGAGTGAAGAGTTGAAAGTCAACTAGTGCATTGTTCTCTTATTCTTTTCTTTTGAATCATCAAATGTCCATTCTTTTTCTCGTTCTTGCCTTCAATGTCCGAGTATTAAGGAGCCCCGTCTTGAGTCAACCAGCTGTATAGGTTTGGCAAGCGTTTATGAACCAACACATTTTCTCGTGTATGTTGGGCGACCATACAGGTTCCTTCTTTCTGAGTCTGTCTGGCATCAAGGTCATTCCTTGATGACTTCCATGCCTACGTTTTAATGGTAATTGCACGAGCCCATAGGCACTTTGGCCTGATGATATGTTTACTTTCTCCATCTTATGATTCTGTACTGAGGCTTTGTTTCATGGCCGCTATTCTGTCATATGCAGTGAAAGTTGCGCAGTGTAAAACAAGCAAATTACTTTAACCTGTGCTAGTGCAAATTTGAATTGTATTTTCCATTATCTCTAAAAAAATCCCATAGGGGAGAAGATCGCATTATGCTAAAAGAGCAACTTCATTCCTCAGGTTAATGGACTCGATTAACAGCTGTTCTGTACGCGCGTAAGACTTATTTTAAATTTCAAAAATGCTCTGTTGTGTTCATCTAGTGAGGGAGATAATATTTTACTTTCATTGTTTATACAAGTAACGTTCTTATATTTCAATCTCCTATTTCAGCTACAAAATCATTGAAGATATTGCGCTCTTACTTCGGTCTTGGTCAATATAAAAAGGCACGCGACTATGTCAAACGCATTTCCCTGATTAGACTCGTCCTCACAGTTCACTAAAACGTACAAACTATGTAAACACTCGAATGTACTTACTAATCCTCGATTACTGCTAGTACATTATCTGAACCTGCAGCACAAAGATATTTATCGCAAAAGAAAATGTTGAAAATTTGCTGGTGCAGGTATCTTGAGGTTTAGCTGTGTCACAGTTTCTTGTAAGGTTGCATGTGCTAGCAAAAGGAATATGCTTTTTCCGATTAAAATTATGCACCTTCCTTCGGTTATGTTGTTTTCAAAGACACTGTGCACATCATTCTTTTAAATTCCTTTTTTATGTCCCTTTTGAAAAGGGCATAAGCTAATGGATTAACAGCGGAGTTAAGAACTAACACAGGGATTTTAAATGTAGAATCTGAGCATCTTTGGTTTAAAATCTGCAAAAATCCACAACGTATAGTAAGAGCATTGTATATAAGAAAGAAACCTGATACAATAATCATCATTACGATCGCGGACTTCTCGTAAGGTTTGTTGGAAACACGGTGGTTAAAACGTAACTGTCGAGTTAAAATACTGTTTACGCGATTGTGTTTACATACAATGCGGATCATAGAAATTAGGCAAAAAATAACAATACAACAAGGCAAAAACTCGAACAAAATAATAACTAGCCAGACAAAAATTTTTAGGTTGAGAGACGAATCTAAGGCGATCCACAGAGTTGCTTCAAGTAAAATAAACACAACTGTTATCGTCCAGGGAAGAAATATCATTGTTAGAGCCCGATGTCGAGTCATAAAATGCAGGTATTTTAAAGGCATCACGATGGCAATATAGCGCTCCAGTACTAAACTGCACAGGTTCATCACTGAGAGATCTTGGAAAAGCCAGCGTGCAATCAACATCCCCTTACGTAAACCTCGTGAGTAGCTGCGATCTCTTGTGATCTCGTACGAAAACAGCAAAGGAACTACACTTATCCCAACACAGAGATCTGCCACCGCAAGTGAAACCACAAACATGTTGGTTTTTGTGTGAAGTTTTCTTTTTCTACAAACAAGGAAGATGATAAATCCATTTCCAATAATCGTCAGAATTGAAAGAATCCAGCTAAGAACCCAAAACCACGACTCCATTTTACAGTTTTAAAAAAGGTCTTTCTGTCAGGTGTTATATCAAATGAATTTTAAAGACAATTTACGGACTTCTGGTCTTTCATTAACTAACTTCTGCGTGAAATATGAAATGTAGCTCATCATAAAACGGTGTTTATGTCACCTAATTTTCGCGATTTTCCACGTTAGAGTCAGATCGAATGATAGATGACACAACGTGCAACGGGACATTTAGATACTTGAGGAAAGGAAAAGGGCCTTGTCATCACCACTTGAGACACGTTTTCAATCAACTAAATTGACTGGATGTTGCCAAGAACATAAAAGGATGTTGCGCATAATAAATTCGGTATAAAAGAATGAGATGCCACTGAGCACGTACGTTTGTTTCTTTGCTTGCGGTTTTTTTGTTGGCGATTTTTTGATAATTTTATCTTTGCGTTTACTTAACTTCGCGATTTTTTTTCGTTAGAAGTACATCGCAAGACCATTAAAACCCGAAGAATTAAAAGTGGATTTGCATGTTCATTTTGAGACCTTTTAAAGGAACACTTAAACTTTAATAACTTCTACGCAAAGTTATTAATTCTCCAAAACAAAATTTCCGTGGGACCGCGGGCACTTGCTGCGTTAGTTACGACAATCATATCTGTGGGCGGACTTAAAATGAGTAAACGCTAATCCAAAATGCAATTGATGGACAGCAGAGAAATGACTCTCATAATGGCATTGAAAGTGCCTTAAAAACGTTTTACGTCTACCGCGGTTTAAGACTTGCAGGGGTCAAAGGGCCATAACACCCCCCCCCCCCCCCCCCCCCC